GGTAACTTCTAGAACTTAAACCTAAGATAGCCAGTAAAACACTGAATTGTAAAGTTATGCAAAAAAATAGGTGGAGCTTTTAGCTTGCAACCAGACAGGAGATCTCACTGTTGCAAAATCCCTGATTGCTACTCTATGATCAGAAGAAAATATGCTGCTGCCATAATATTGCTGGTAAAAATGAAATAGGAAAAAAATGAAAAGAAATAACAAATGATAAATACTTTGTATGTGAGCTGTCATAAGTATCCTACATGAGAACCAAATGGTTAGAAAAGAGCAGCCCATGATTTCTACTCAGAAAAATGGACAAACCATGAGGAAATTTCTGGAGAAAGGGCAAGAACTGTCCCTTGATTTATTATTTTTGTTGCTGTTTAGAAAATTTATATTGCTCTCCTACTCACACATGGAGATTCAAGACGGCTTACAAAGATACAAAAATCCACAATAAACATATGGGTCAAATTATAATACAACACAGAAGGACCATCAGTGTTTTCATACAAATTAAATTAAATATCCAAGTAATAAAAAGCTATTACAGTTAATTTTGTGCTGAATAACAGCTAAAAGGGAGGACTAAGACCATCTTTATTCAGACAGCTGTTATCCTGAGCCTATGGACAAAAAACAGAGCAAGTATTTATAAATATTTATACACAGGGTTTCTAGAGGTCAGGTGCTGAGCAGTTTATAACTTATATGCACACCTGTTTGATCAGAAAAGCACACACACCCTTTCACCGGCCTTGTAAGGAATATTACTTGCCCAGTTGGAAAACCCAATAGGAAAGATTGTTTCAGTTGTGGGACAACTGCAAGATGTGCAAACTGAGAACTACCAAATGTGATCTGCTCTGCAAGAATTTCTCCTTTCCTTTCCTTTCCTTTCCCTTCCCTTCCCTTCCCTTCCCTTGTTCCAAGAGGGCAAAATGACATTTCAGGAAAACAGAATTGCTAGGAGAAAGTTATTAAATGGGACAAGAGTACCAAAAATAAATATGTACCCTTTTTGTATATAATACTATAATAAGAAATGTGACGAAGTAAATGGCCTAAAAACCTAGAATATTTCTCCAAGCACAGATACACACACTTTTCCTTCAAGAAAAGCTAACAGCAGTAGTAATAGCAGAAGGGCAGTTCTTTCATGTATTAATGAAAAAAATGCTACTACTAGGGAATAGTGTGCTTTTTTAGATTCTAGGACTGAAATGACTATTTTGTGTAGCACAAAAGGATGTGGACTGTTTAGGTATGGATGCTATGAAGCTGTGTATAAATAAAGGTAAGCTTATGATTTTAAACTTTGTCACAGTTGATGGCATAAAAGTGAAAGCTATGGAAGGGGACTTGATATATTGAATTTGGAGTAAAAGTAGAGAGGATGAAAAAGACGATGGTAGATGAAGATAATTCTTTGTTCTCTTAGATAAAACTTTAATAATGATACATGGAAATTTAATTTCTTATCACCTTTATTGCAAAGCCACCAAAAAACTCCCCTAGAGAATTTTACTTTTAACCATTAAGAGCACTAAGATGTAATGGACTTTCATCAGTCATGAAGTCTAGCATAAGTGCTAACTACCTTCATAGAAAAATATCACCATGGATAAAGATGAATATACATTTCCCAGGATAAAGTTGCAGTATCCAATCTAAAACAGAACTACATCTAGGTGATGCACCAACTGCTAAAAAGCCAATAGTCAAGGACTCTATGTACTTTCCATTGTGCCTGAAAATATCCGTCTCACTTTGAATGCAATGCTTGATTACATGTCCCTTGATTACATGTGTACTCAAAACTTGACTTGAAATTAAGTATTTTTTCAGAACAAATAGTCTTTAGAACAGTGATAAAGCAGCTTATATGACTGTATTAGAAGCAAATTAGTGGCATATAGATTTAACAAATAGACAATAAATAAAACTGTAATGACTGCTTTTATAAACACAGTGTATGCTACAATATTATCTCAGGTTGAGATGCCATAGTATCAGATTGTCCCAGAATTTAAACTGGCATAGCTTTTTCATTTAAGATCAGTCCAAAAGGTAAGTGTCCAACAATATAGGAGTGAATATACAAAGGTGCAATACTCTTTCTGGGTACTTTACTTTTTCTTATCTACAGTAGTCTTAGCTTTCTTTGTTATCACTATTATTGATATCTGTTTATCACAAAGGAAGTATGCGGATATAATAGTATTTGCTTGCCACATTTTCTATATGGGTTTATATTTATATTGCGCTAAATAAATTGTGTTAGAAGCAAACATACACTGGGAAAATATTAGCAATGTTAACTGCAAAACTCCTCATTCAAATAAACCAAGCACATCATTCAAATAAATGCTAGAGTTGAGGATATGTAATCAGTGTTTGTCACTGACCTTTTGTTGTTACATTCATTTTCTCACTTTGCACTTTCAGATCTTGCACATGCAAACAAGCCTCTGTCTTCCCATCTAGATGAGACTCTCTAAAACGGATCCTTTTAGTGGAAGACATCCATATTTGTTATGGAATATTTATTGTATCAACTTGTTGACTGTTTTTAAAAGAATCACAAGATATTAATTATTACTTTTCAAGGCCTTAATGCTTTGGAACAAGGCAAGTTACTTGTACGTCAAATGTAAGCCTACCAACTTTTAAGATTAATTATTGTGACATTCCTGTCCATATCTTTGTTTTCCGGAGAATGTTTGGTGGCATCAGACTTTAAGACTTATTTTTAGAACTTTGAAGCCCAAGAAATTATCTCCTTCATTGTATTCTACCTATGCTTCAAGTCTTTACCTTTTCTACAAATTTTATTTTAACATCCTTCAGATTCTGTGTTAAATTCTTGTTCTCTTTTTACTGCACTATTTTATATTGTCAGTATATATTTTTTAATTACTGTTATTTTACATGTTTTGTTGGATGTGGGGAGGTGCAAGTTACAGAAATTAAAATAAAACAAATTTCCTGTATTTAAAACCTAAAGTGTACTTTAAATCTTTTATCAAACTACTTCCCCTATGTAATCCCTTTCACTGAATATGGATTGTTTTTCTAAAATGCTATGACAGCATCATTTATTCACATATAAAAATATGGAAAAATTAGGTTACTATTTCCTTTATGAAGGTCTTATGAATATTACAAGGATGCATTCAGCTCATAAGAAACCAATAAATGAATATTAACCTTGGAAAGTAATAACTAAGCTATATGTGGCCTAGAACTAGACACCTTGCTTTATCTTAACTTTTAAACCAGCCAAGTCTACAAGAAAAAAATTCTCACATTTATTCAAGCTAACATCATCCACACTAGCAGCATATCATGGTTATTTGGTAACATGCATCAGACAATTCAAACATACTAAACAATATCTAAAGGTTACCACTTCTCAAAAGAAAAACCAATATTTTTTCATGTAAAAGGCCTACTGAGAAAAATATATTTTATATTATAAGTCTTTTAGGGCAAGGACTTTTATGTCTCAAAAATCAGTCTTTGCCAAAGAAATAAAAATGTACAATTGCAATAATAAGCATCATGAGCCTTAGACAATATGTGTGGCTAACTTGCTGCAATAAATGAATGGAGCTACAGTGGTATGAAAGAGTGTTAGAACATGAAAGAAATCCCTTCAACTTACATTTATGTAAAATTGTACATGTGTAGAATTCTAATGTGTAGAATTCATTGTTTATTGCAAATACTTATATTTCATTCATTCTTGCTTGGTCCATTTCTCACCTTTTTGCTTTTCCTTTTATTCTTTATTCTTTACCTTTATTTCTTCATATAAAATTGTTACTTTTTTTCTTTTGTAGGTCCATCTCTTTATTAGATCATATAAAAGTTGTAGATCACTGATAGTATGCTTTTGTTGCTTATATTATGAATATTTGTAGTAGAAGTAAGTCAAATCCTGATCTTCTGAAAGGATTTTCTTATTAATGGTAGCCTTAATATATTACAAGAAGAAAACGAGAACCTCTCAAAAAGGCATTATTCAAACTTCCTTTACAGCATAATCAAAGAGTTGACAAACTTCAATGAAATTTTAGAAGAATAATTTCTCTTTCACAATGATTTTTCCTTTGCTATTTAAGGGCTAAAGATGAGCCTAGCGATTCATTTAATATTCTGGTTCCCACCATGCCCAATCAAATTTGAGGGCAACATCTCGTTTCTCCCAGCAGTTATTATTCAAAAATGTGTTACCTCTGCATAGACCTTGCTTATAGCCTTTCTAATTAGTAGTCATGAAAGCCAGCAGTCATCAAATGCTGGAGCAGTGGATATCATTGTTAAATTATGCACTTCATAGAGATATACTTGTTTTGCTTCACTGTATCCTAAGATAGGGACTCCAATTCACCAACTATTGAACTTCTCCCATTGAACTTCCTTTGGATGTTGGCCAAATCTGGGTAAAATTAGTGGACAACTTTTTCAGTGGTATTCAATATTTACAAAGTCTTTTCCATAAAGATTGGTTTCCTTTCATTGCTTTCCATACAAGTCAGTGATGGAACAAAGACAAAATTAATGAGAGGCTTTTATAGCAGTGGAGGGAAAGTGTACAGACCACAAGTATGCCATGTTCCAATGAGATCTGAAGAACACAAATCATCAGGAAGAAAGACTTCAGATGCTAACTGTTATCCAATTAAGTTTAGCATAAACAGCCCAGAGAGATGAAATCTTGATATCAGAGTATCACATTTGTATGAGGATTCTCAGACATTTGATCACAATGCAGTATAAACAAACCATCAGTCCCAGTGTTGGTGGCAACATCTGAGATCAACTAGCCCACACCCCCGGCAAAACAAGACCAAACTGGTTTTAATTCCTGTCTCAGCAATGATAAGGAAGATTTCTAGTGCTTTAGCTCTGTCCTTACATCCAAATGGACCTGATGCTTCCAGAGATATATCATGTTGGCAGATGATCTTCAGAGAGCAAAAATAAAATGTTTCTGTTACCTGACAACTGACAATGACATCCAAATGTGCCTGATGTCTCACTCTGAGACCCGCCAACTGAGATTGCGCGCGCACCACAGCAGGACAGGCTCAGGCAGGGCGGGACTGAGGTTAGAGCACGGAGAGGTGGCGGTGCGATCACTGATGCATGAGGGTGGGAGGAGGCAGTTATGGAGGCCGCCGGCAGCTTTGCAGGCCTGGACGGCCCTGAGGAAAAAACAATAGAAAAATCTGTCAGTGGTACCGATGTTTGAAAGCAGAGATGGAGAACAGGAGCAATGTAGGGCTGGCATGACCTACAATACATATTTGCTTAACAAACTGTAAGGGAAGGAAGGAGAATAACCTTGAGGAATTGGATAAAAAGCCACAACCAAGTTAACTGTTAGGGGGGAAAAACTGAGCCCGGGCCTGTAACTGTAATGTGAATAAGCATCTCAGAAAAGATGCTCCCTTGTTTTCAGGAAGATAACAGGAGGGAGGAGGAAGTGCATTGAGATTGCGCAATGATGTCAGCCTTTCAGGGTAGACCAAACTAGGAAAACATCCATGCAAATACTACTTGTATTGTAGGGTTATACTAAAGAATCTTGCAAGTCTGAATGCACTTCTCTATCTTTATCATCCTGAGAACTAGGGAGAGTTCTTTCTGATATGCTTTCTTAGTTTACACCTCTAGCCTGGACTCAGATTTGTTTTATCTAGTCACTGCCCTGGTTATGGGTGTTCCTCCTGTTTCTCAAGGTTATTCCTTCTGCCCATTGCACAACTCACAGGGCAGAAAGAGATGGTAGTCAGTAGAAAGGCTTCTCTCTCCACTAAGGCCTTTCCTATGAGAAAGATAAATGACTGATTCTTTCCCCCTTTCTTTTAAATGCCAAATGTGTTAGCACTATTTATCTGTAAACCATCAAGGTACATGGGATGGGATTCAGTATAGTAGTAGAATAACTATATAAACAAGTGAATGAATAAAGGCTGCAGTCATAATACCAAAGACAAAACTTGACTATGAAAAGCATACTTAGAGAATCTCTGATATAGATGATAAATTTTGAGCATCCTTATTTTATTTGGTTTGTCTGTGGGATTTTTTTTCTTTTTCTTTTTATCTGTATGTTCACTTAGGAAATATTTTCTTTGCCTTTGGAAGAGAATATAAATATAAATACATAAGCAATTATTTTGGTATTATTTTTCTTCTTCCTCAGTAACTCTTGAGACGTTGATAGATATGCAGTCCTTGATATACAACTGGTCGCTTAACAACTGTTCAAAGTTATGACTGACCTGAAAAAATGGCCTTATGTTATGTAACCACATTTCTGGCACTTGGCAACATAGTCACTTTTACAGCCATTTGCAAGATTCTGCAGTCACATCACTACGCTTTACAACAAATTTGCATAAAACTAACACTTCTGGTTTTTGGCAAAACTGCACCACAGCAAAACCATGGATTCTCTTAATAACCACAGTGTTCACTTGACTGTGGCATTCACACTTACAACTACCATGTTTGCTTAACAACCACCACAAAAAGTCATAAAATCAGGTCGGTCATGTTTTCTTACCATTACAATTTATGAGCACAATGGGCAGGCTCCATTACAGTCTCAATTTGAGGACTACCTCTATAGAGTCACTAGCATCTTAATCTATCTGTGACTAGATTTTTAGCTGTTTATTGGGTTTTCTTCTTTCTTTTTCTTTTTTAATCCCTCCATAGTATAAACAAAAAGATTACAGGTAGCGTTTAGCTATGTATCATGTAGCAAAATGGCCAGCATCCTAACAAACTTCTGTCAGTCTCCGAAAATGTGTGATTTATTTCTGGAAGCGCCAAGCAGCAAAAGAAATGTGCTTTAAAAAGAACATGCCAGTTGTTCCGTACAAATATAAATTAATACTGTTGTTTTGTTTGTCCTAAAAACCAAAATAGTGATACAAAAAAGTTATATTTAGAGAGACATTTTCCAATAGTGTACTAAATAACTGTGAGTTGCTAAAATCTTCTTAATAGTTTGTGTATTTTTGCCCACTCTCAAGAGCTGCTCTGACCATAATTTACCAAGTCAAAAACACCATTTCTGATAAAACAGATTTGTACGCAGGAAATAGCCTGTCATAATAACCCTGTAAGAGTTCTCAGCAACATTCCTGCTCTTATGAAGAAACCAAAAATGGAAGAGTGATAGGAGAGGACAATGTATGAGATCCTATAGGCATTAGGGAAGAGCACCGAGGGACATTGCCAGAGCTATAGGGCATGTGTTTAGGAATCAGATTGAAAGGGGATTACGGTTTATGGCCATCCGAATCCAACTCGCCAAGAGAAGAAAAAAAAAAGGGGGGGAGCTGCTTGCCAAGTTACTACTGAACCAGGCCCAGCACACTAACACAAAGTGCCACAACTCATAACTGAAGCAACTTCATACAAGTGCCAGGAATCAAGCTCCCAGAATAAAGCATTTATGGCCCATTGTGGCTTCGTCGCTACTTGAGCTGCAGCCAACAATGCATTCTACATGTTTCATTTCTGCATTATATTTCCCATGTTAAGTTTATACAGAATATAACCTTTCTTTGTTGCTAATAGCTGGAAAGAAGCATTGTACTCTCAAATTGTATTATTCATTTAAAACACATACACACATATCTAAAAATCATCTGTTATTTAGAACTGTATTTAGTCTCTGTTTCTGGTATGTTGGAAATGCTTTCCCTCTTGCTCTCTTGGCAGTCATCAGAATGACTTAAGCAATTAAATAAAAGCATAACACAGACACATATTGCATGAAGTTAACTTTTAGTTAGAACTCAGGCTGCTGTATCCATTTTTCAATAACTAAGTATTTGGCTGCCACCAACAATTACCTGATGCTCTTGAATCAATATACTTATTGTAGTAATCAACTGCAGTTTGTGTAATAAGCTTACAAGTATAATAGTCTGGCAATTTATTTCACGTGAATTTTATAGACAAAGGAGTTAAACAAATTACAAACGGCGTGTTTGTCATTTCCAACTATTTAAATACAATGCCTATCTACACTAGTATGTACCTCCCAAATTACAAATCTTTGAAAAAAATGGGAATACAACAAAACAAATAACAAAATGCATCATTAAAAAACACCTAAACTATTCACTATTTTCATTCATACTATTAATACTGTCAAATCACAACAAGATATTGGGATATGAGGAAAGAAAATGTAGAGAGATTTCCCTTCTACAGCAATTTTCTACTCAATACCTTTGCTCCCACTCAAGGATTCAAAGAGCTATCGATTTTATTTCAGAAATCACCCAAAATTATTTAAATTATAATTTTCAACTGAGAAAGTGCCTTGATTGGTGAATGTCTAATACTCTTTCTTCCTCCTATTTTTCCCACAACAACCTTGTGATGCGAGTTGGGCTGAGAGAGAGTGAATGACTCAAAGCTAGCTTTCAGGAGTAAGGTAGGAGTAGAACTCACTGTCTTTTGGTTTCCAGGTCATCAACTTAACCATTCGACTTTGAAAACTGCTTGTGTTCAATAAAGGACTGCATGAAGGAAGAGACTGAATCCAGATAAGATATCAATCTGCTATGATTAGCAGAAACCCTTATCTAAATATTGGAATACAATCTGTGGAACATACTGTGAACATGTTGTGGAACCTGTTCATAAAATATATGTGTCTTGGGACTGCCATTTAATAGTAAAGGATCCCTGGATCTACAAGTATTTAAATATATAAATACTTAAAATTTGCTATCTGTGACTATTTCAGAATTAGCCTGATCTGGCAACCTTGCTTATATCATACTTCTCACAAATGAAGGTGAATTTACATGTCCCAGGACAATGTTGCAGTAGCCAATATGGATCGGTCACTGGGACCAGAGGTTTTGTCTTCCGAGCTTTTGGACTTGGGCTGGAGCCCATCTTCAGTGAAGATGAATCTTGGTCAGTTATCTCTGGTCCCAGTGACTGACTCAGATTGGATCCTGCATACTTATTGTATCATATAATAAGTTCTTTCAAATTGGACTATGCTTGAAGAAGCATTAAATGGTACAAAAAGACTGCTAAGCTGCAAATCGATACCTGGTATTATGATTATATTACTCATATTACTTGAAAGTTCTGCAAAAGTTGTCAATTGTTTTCTCTTATCTATAAACAGCTTATTTGCCAATTATCTGCACATTACCTTCTTTATGAACTTGCCTAAGTATGAGCAGAAACAAACATTCCTGGTCACAGATGTCTGGATGCTACCTTTCAGACTATCTGAAGGGGAAAAAAGATTTATTTTTAATCTATTTAAGTGACGAGTCATTTAATTTACTAGTAATGGCTTAAATTTGTTTCAATGTTTCAGTACAGTTTTATTGTTTTATGTCTTTATTAACTACTATTGTTACTGGATTTATTCCATCTCAGACACAGTTGAGGAAAAGTATTGTATAAATACTATTAAAAAAATAAACTATAACTATTACTTATGATTTCCTCCTCCTATTTGCCTAGAAGGCCTAGTTTTTCATTAAAAATAGCATTTATCCTCCTCATGTTTTTCATCTATTTGTCCCGGTCTGAAAACTATAGCTAGCATGGTGATCTGATAGCTACAGATGTGAATCCAATAGAAATACTTCATCCTTGGCACTGCTTTCAGCACTTCAGTCTGCATGGACTGCATTTGATTTTGTCATTTATCTTAAATGGCTAAGAGACTACCAGGGCAACACATTTGTGTGAAGTTGTTGCCAAACCACAAGTGAAGGGCCCTAAATCCTTGGCATAAATACTTGAGCTCTGCAGCATCAAGAAAAAATATGTGTCCTTTGTGATTTTTATTTTTTAAACAGAGTCTGGACCTTCAGATTATTTACTCCTTGCTCTCCCACCTTCTCATTTCAAATTATTACACAAACAGGTAAAATAAGATACTGACAGAAACTGCACCTACATTGCAATCTGGAAGTGACTTGTCTGCCGAGCCAATGAAAGCAAATGGCAGATGTGGAATGTCTAAATATATATAAATAATTTTGCTTGGCATAGATAGATGATCTTTTAATACTTCAAGAAAGAGATAAAGAAGAATAAGAAGAGTAAAGAAGAATTCCTAAAATATTTTAAAATTTAAGTTTGTAATTGCTGAAAAAATGCATGTCTATTCTATTTAATAATGTTACAATTTTTACTG